CAAAAACTTTGTTGTTTCATTATCCAAAAATTTGGAGAAAAATAAATTCATCCACAAATTATTCCTGCTCTTTCCAGTCTTTGGTTAAAAAAAAAAAAAAAAAAAAAAAGAAAAAAAAATCAGTGTCAATAAATTTTATGTCACACTAATAAATGACTATGAATCTGTTTTTTTAAAATGCTAATCAAATAAAATGTGAGTAAATATCCATTTTATCCTACAATTACTCCTGCTTTTACCATACCCTTAAAGAAGTTTAATTTTTTTTCCTCACATGGGCTTCAGATTTTTAAGAAACTTTACATATTTACTCAGAAGTTTCATGCCTGGATGAATGTACAAATAATAGCAAAATAAGGACAACAGGAAGAGGAAAGATGATTTGATAACCAAACCTTCATGGAATTTTCTAGCTAAAAAAAAAACTCCATTTCAATCTCTAGATTCTGACTGTGAGTTGACGGGAGGGGAGGAGGGCACAAAGAAATGTTCCCCTGAGGGGAGCAGGTCCTTGTTGGCCCTCCACAGGGCTTCTTGCCCTCCTGCCTCCCCTCAGAGGAGCCTAGATCTTTCAGCACGGGTAAATAGAACTGGGAGAGGGCTCAATGCTGTGCTCCTTGGGCACCAGAAGCTCTTCCTCACACCCACCCCAGGAGAGGAGGGTCAGTGGAGGCCTTGTTCCCTCCCCCAGGCCACCAGCATCACCAGAGGGATAATGTGGGAACAGCATCTCTCCTCCCAGGACCATGAGGGACTGTACAGCTGTAACCAGAGAAGGGCTGTGAGGGGCTGGGAAGGCTGGTCAAAGCAGCAGGAGCCCCAAAAGGCTTGTAAAGCCCCAGGTGTCTCGAGGGAAGCCTGACAACTGCAAGGTGTGCGAAGCCACACTTGCCAGGAGTCCAAGGAAGGGGAAGGCAGAGGGATGGGACAGGGCAGACCAGAAGCTGAAATTAAAGGACTCGGTGCCGACTGAGGAGTTTGGGGCGAGAGGAAGGGAGTCTGGGGAAATCAGGGGTATCCGGCTGTGTCCCCATTAGGTGCAGCTGGAAAACCAGAGTGGGAGTGGAGGATGGAGGGCTTCCCCGGCTCGTAAGCCTCTGGAAACTATATGTGGAGACATCAGTCATGTCAGCTTTATTGAACCCTACTACCCTGGGTGCTGTGCTGGTGAAAGACACCCAGACTTGCTCTTAGGGAGCTAAGGCCATGCTGCAGTTAGGGGGCATGGGGGTCTGTGAGGAAAAGACGGGAACTGCTAGAGGCCGTGTGAGCAGGGAAGGGCGCCCTGAGAGCTGAAGGATGGAATGAGCAGTTCAAGGCAGCAGACACACCTTCCTGGCACCCAGACTATCAGGGCCTCGGGTGGAGGCTGGTATTGGAGGAACAGCTGGCAGCCACTGTGGCTGGAGCAGCACTCTCCCGGGAGCAGGAGGCACAGGATGAGGTGGGGAATAGGGGCCAGGTTGTATAGCACCCTCTACCCCACACCCCTACCTCCCTAGGCCACAGCAGGAGATTGCCGTATTTATTTATTCGTTTGTTTTTCAAAAAACCACGAGAAGCCACTGTTGGTGGAGAATGGATGGGGGTGGGGGCAAGTGAGAAGGCTAGAGGATGGACCAGGCTGGAGGTAAAAGTGGGCAGAACTGTGCTCCGTTCTGAAGGTAAACCCAACAAAATTTGCGCATGGATTGGGTGTGGATGCACTGGGGCGACTCCCAGGTCCAGAGCAGCCAGGTGGATGGTGGACTTGGAAGTTCCGTTTAGCCTGGATTTCCTCAGAATTGCCTATCAGCCATCCAGGTTGGGGGGAAGGGGTAGGTAAGTTGTGACCTGTTGAAGTCAGGAACACAATGACAGGAGTCATGAAATCTGTGGCTGGTAGAGAGCCCCAGGGAGAGATCCAAAGATCCAGGCAGGCCCACGCTGAGAACTGGGTCAGAGGAGGAGGACGAGGAGGAAAAAGGAGGGATGGATGATGCTGGGCACTGCTGGGGGCGGGGGACAGGCAGGGGAGCTGAGGCGGTTTGAGTGCAGGGGTGAGGACAAAAGACAGACGTATCACGGGGTTGAAGAGAAGTAGGGAGAGGGTGTGGAGACAGAGCAGCAGAGATCCCTCTGGAGATTGGATGGTACCTGGAGGAGGGAGTTCAAGGGAGTGGCTTTGTTTTTATTTTGTGTTTTTATTTTTTAAAGATTTTATGTTTAAGTAATCTGTCCACCCAACTTAGGACTCAAACTCAAAACCTCAAGATCAAGAGTTGCGTGCTCCACCGACTGAGACAAACAGGCACCCCTATTTTGTGTTTTTAAATGAGATACTATAGAGTTACTTCTCCAGATTCTAAAATCTATAGGCCTTATAGGCTTATGGGGGAAATGGAGTTGAAAGCCTTTGGAAAGCCATTAAGTGCCTTGTGGAACCGAGTGTTCACATCCACAGCCCAGTAAAGTCTGAGACCCCAAGGGAGAGAATCAGAGGAAATGTGTATGCCCATGTTTGGATCCCTAGCTGCCCGCCTGTGTAAGGACCCGACGGGGCACAGGCTGGGAGACCTGCGGCACCTGTGTTTGCCCTCAGCCTCTGATGCACAGAGGGCAGGTGATGGGGGGGAGGGTTAAAGTAAACAGCTTCTCATGCTGGGGTATGGGGGGGAGTGCTGGGGGGTCTGGGGCCTCTCTCCAGAGCAACCAGAGGAACAGAACCTGCAGGGGCAGAGGGCAGGAAGCAGGGAAGGGCTCAGTGGCAGTTTCTCTGAGAGTCAGGTCCATCCACCCCTGAGGGAGGCCTTGGCTGTGGGCTCCTGCTTCCTCAGTGAGCCAAGTGGTGAGGTCCCAGATCCAGGAGGAGGTTGCCCCTCCAATCCAGGGTGGCTTCCTGGAAGGTGGGTTGGAAGGTCTGGGTGTTTGGGACCTGTTGCTGACACAGGGAGACAGATGCAGAAGCCTAAGCATTCCCAGACAGGGGCCAAAATGGGTGGCTTTTCAGGGGTCCAACCCTGGCACCCACCCACCCCATCCAGCCTTATTCTCTGGGCAGTCAGCCTATCTGTCCTTGAGCTCCTCCTCAACCTCCATTCTCCACCTGTAGGACTCTGGAAGTCGGTAAAATAGGCTGAGGGTCTAGCTAAAGAAGATCCCATGGGTGGAGTGCAGGGGTTCCCCAGGAATACCCTGTGTCTATCCTCCCAGGCCCTGCTCAGCCCCACAGAAAACATGCAGCCAGCCCCCAGCCAGTCCTGAGTCTGGTAGATTTCCGCGTCTCCTCTGGTAGTAAGGAGCAGGGTGCTCAGAGCCTTCCCGACTCCGGGGCCATTCATGTGCAGAGGAATGCCCCCATGGCTTCCCTCCCAATGCACACTTTCTTGTTGGGAGGGGAAACCGGCCGCCCGGCTTACCCGGTCTGTGACATGGGCTCCCCCAATGCACCAGGAGCCATTGGGGGCTTCAAAGCAACCCCTCCGCAGAGGTGGGCTCACACTCTGCTTGCCCGGCCCCCTCTCTTCCACGCCTGGGGGACCGTGGCTGAGGACTCATTTCCAGCGGGAGGCTGGGCGGGGGTTGGGGCGGGGGGGGGGGGGGGCGTCGCTGCTAGTCCTCGGGTTGGCAGCCGCAGTGTGAAGAGATGGGGTAAACACTGTGGTGGGGAGAGTTCCTGAGTCAAAGTGGGGCGCAAGGGCTGTAGAATCGTTTGCTGAGAAGCCACCGAGGATCAAGCCAGGGATTCATCGTACGGGCTGGATTTGCCTAACCTGTGGCAGCGCACGCGGGCCTGCCCGCGCGCAACACCGCCTCCCTACACAAACGCACGCGCTCGCGCGCGCGCACACACACACTCACACACACTCGACTTTCAGAAGACCAGGCGCTGGCGGATGTACGTCCCCAGGTCGGGCTCCCTCCTGTTCGGGAAGGAAAACCGGACGGCAGGGCCACCTCGAATAATGGAAGAATAGAAGCCACGAGTCAAGACCTTGACCCAAGAGACCGCTGGGGATGCGACGAGGCCAGAAGAGGAACCGTGAGGCGCGCAGAAAGTAAATCCGACGCCGCCGAACCGGGAGCGCCGCTGGCCCTTGAGGACTAGGGCGTAGCCCAGGGAACGCGCGCCGGCCCTTCTAGTTAGTCAGGGTGCGCTTCCTGGAGGAGGAGAAGGAGGGTTTACCGCTCGAGCGACCGGGATGAATGGAGGGGGCGGGGCAGCTGGCGGGCTGGGCCCCGACGAGGCCCCCTGCCGAGGGTGGGGCGGGGGCCGGCAGCGTGCATAAAGCCGACTGTGGAGAAGCCCTCCCACGACCCGCCACAGAGGCACAACACCTTGGGTCCCTGGGCCCGTCGAGCTTCTTCCCAGAAACTTCCCAGCCCCGCCCAGCTCCTAATCCGGCAACGCCTGGGAGGGCACGCGGGCTCGAGGAAGCCCGATCTACACGTTCTGGCTGAGTTGCCCCGGGCTCCCGGGAACAGCCTGCTGGGGACTGGCAGGAGCGCGGGTGAGGGCGCGGGGCGGGCGGACGGGACCCCGCCCAGGGCGGCACCAGGGCGGGGCGTGGGGCGGCATTAGGACCCAGACGCGGCGCGGGGGTGTGTCGCCGGCTCCCGCCGCTGGCCCGCCCGAAATGCCAAATTCGGGGTCCCGGAGATCCCGGGTGAGGAGTCCGGGCGTGCGCGCGTGTGTGCAGCCGTCCGGCGGCCTACCGCCGGGCCATGGCCGCGGCCACCCGGCGCCTGTTCCATCTCCAGCCATGCGGTGGGTGCCTGAGCCGGCGGAGCCGGCGGGCGCGGCAGGGGCGCGGCGGGAGGGCCGTTCGGTCTCCGCCGCGAAGGGCTGCTAGGAAGGGACGCGGAGCCGTCGGAGCACCGGGGAGAACGCGGATGCCGCCGGCTTGCACAGGCCCCGGGCCACGGTGGGCGAGGGGGTCGTGGAGGCTTCCTAGCCCTGGGGGGGGGGGTCAGGTGTGAGTTCGGCCCGAGGGGGAGTGGGAGCCCGAGCCCGAGCCCGGGGGATTACGCGGGTGGTGGAGGGAGGCCCAGGGGGCCTCGTGGACACTGCGCGCTTGATTTAATGCTCTATTGCAGGCTTGAAATTCTTAGTCTTTGAACCAGTGGAGGGGTGGGGGCGTGGAAGCGGTTGGGACGGAACTGTGGAGTCCCTAGCACCCCGAGCGCCGGCCTCTTCCCAGCGGGCACGCTGCCACCTCTGGTTACGTTCTGCCAGGGACACCTTCTCGCCCCTGCGCTGCGGAGAAGCCTGCCCATTCTGGGGGATCCCGGGGCCTCCGACTGTCCCCTGTGAGACCACAGCACTCTTTACGTCGCGGCTCTGATACCTGAGGGCCAGCCGGGGGCTTGTAGGACTATTTACCTGCACTTGTGGCTCCCGGTATGGGAGTAAGGTGTGCACCACCCCCACCCTTCCAAACCCTCGTCACCCTCGTCCTCTGGCCATCCCTGCGGCCTCGGATGCTAGCTTTACTGCCCCCGCCCCTCCCTTCTGGATGCAGACCCGGCTCCCGTCCCGCGCGTCCGTCCGCATCCTGCCCCCGCCCCCCCCCCCCCCGGCCCCCAGGGTCTCCGAGTCTGGAAACGCTTTCCTCTCATGCACGCGGCCCCTCCTGTCGCTTCCTTCCTCGCACAGAGCGGCACAAACAGCCGGGACCATCCGGGGCCCTGTGCGGTGAGCGCGCACAGAGCCCCCTTCCCCCGCGCAACCCCCTGCCCCGCGCCTTCTCCTTGGAGGACCAACGGCTCCGCCTCCCAGGAGGGCCGGGCCGTGGGGGGCACAGAGGGGAGGAGGCCGTTGCCATGTCGCCCCCCGGTGACCCCAGGCGTGTGCGGTTGGGGGCGACTGCACGTGTGATGGGTGTTGATGGCCCCTGGGTGCGAAGAAAGAGTAGGAGGCGCCGCGATGTGCCGCCAGGAAGGCCCCCGCCCAGGTGCTGGGCTTGGCCGCGAAACAGCGCAAGCGGGAGGCCAGGGAGGCCGGCTACTACAAGGAGGGTGGAGGGACGGGCCCCCTCCCAACAGTCCCGGCGGCCTGTGCTGAGTAGCAAAAGCAGCGAATCCTGCGAGGGTACTGTTAAACTCCTAGAGGAAACATGCTGAGAACATTTCCCCTTTCCCACCTGGGCAGACCCTAGCAGATTGGCTGAAGAATAACAGGCTTGGCTTTCTCTTAAGGGGCTCCTGCCTAGTACTACCCCCTACACTTTTTGTCCCCAGGTTGGCTTGGGTTGGGTACCTGGGAAGGGGTAAGGAGTCAGCAGAGTTGGTGTGGGGAGGGGAGCAGTTGGACACGGGACACTGTCCAGGGCTCGTTCGTGTAGCTGGTAACAATTCTTGGGTTTCCCTTGCAGAGTCCTCTTCCGAAATGTCCCAGAATGGATTCGTTGAGGATGTAGTAGGTGAGTACATCTGTGTGTGTGTGGGGGGGGGGGGGGGGGTGAACAAAGAGAGCTCCTTGGTCAAAAGTCACAAGAGACCTAATTCCTCCACTGGGGCACCCATGGCATTGATCACCCATCTGTGGCCCTCTGTTGGTGCTAGATGCTTTTAGATCCTCTCCTTTGGGAGATCGTGGTAAGGTGGAGGGGGCAGCTAACACTGCCTCGGACACTGACGGGCTCTCTGGTGGTCTCGTGGATCTGGGAAGGCAGGCGGTTCCCCCTCTTAGGCTGTGTAGATGAGCGCCCTTGGTTCACTGTTGGAATGCTCTGGTTAGGCCATGTTGTATCTGCCCACATCCCTCAGTCCCCGCCCAGCCCTGTGAGGCAAGGGCTGCCATTGTCCCTCTAACGAAATGTAACCTAACCTTTTTGGGCTTCAGCTTTGCTGCTTCCTTCAGACCAGCTCTCCCGCTCTCCACGTCTCTGGGCTCTCCTGTGCCCAGACCTGGGGGGCTGGCCTGGCCATCAGAGGGTTGTTCAGTGGGACAGTGCTTGGATAGGGTGGAGTGATGATATGCTCTTACCCAGGGTCCCCAGGGCATGGTGATTGCATGTGCCAGGCTGTTGGTAGGCAGGTTAGGTGTGTGGTTCAGCTTATAGGTGGGGACCTGGCCTCCTAGGAGTGTCTCAGGGACTGAGTAGTATCAGCTGGGCAGGTCCTAGGTAGAACCCAGAGTAGGGGAGAAGGGGACAGCATGATGGTGCAGTGCCCAGAAATAATGGGTGCTGATGGGGGTGCCAGAAGGGAGATTAGGGCAGGTTGGGGCTGGGGCGCCAGGTAGTCTAAGCAAAACAGGTCCAGGACTGGGGAGGAAGGAGGTTTTCATGGACGTTGGGGCCAGCTCTGCTACCCCTGCCCTGACCCCTGGTCCCTCAGGCAGGGACCCTCCATAACTCCATAACAAAGGAGGGAAGGACATTTTTCGACTCTGGGCTCTGAGTACAGTGTAGACCTAGAGCTAGGGGGCCCTCCTAGGGAAGGCCTAGCACCTCCTGCCCAAAAGGGCCCAGGCTGAGCACAGGACACTGCGGGGAACGGGGCCTGGGATGTGCAGAGGAAACCGATGGGCTAGAGTGGAAGTGAGTCAGGGTGAGTCACTGCCTGGCAGGTGTAGGCGTGCTGCTGACCCTTCCCCGTCCCAGCACAGGTGTTTGTCAGGCATTGGCGGGGTCTGGGCTACAAGAGCCCCTTTTCTGGAGCACTCGCACGTGGTGAACCACAGGGGAACAGGGCAGTCAGGAAGGGGTGCCGGCAGGGACCTAGGAGGACTTGCCAAAAGAGGAGGCTTCCTCTGAGCCTTGAAGAAGGCCCTCTGGGGAGGGGAGCCCTCTGCTCGTAGGACAGGCGCCGGCATGCCTGGGGCGTTGGCCAACTGGCCTCAGGAGTGAGATCAGAAGTGGGGGGTAGGACCGGGCCTGAGGGACCAGGGGTCAGGGCAGGGGTAGCAGAGCTGGCCCCAACTGTCATCCCAGAGGTCTTGAGGAGCAAGAGTGGAACACTCGCCTGTCACCAGGAAGCGGGTGTGGGCTGTGAGCAGTTGTAGGCACTAAGACCAGGCTCTGCACTGGGAGTCCCAAGGTGCCATGACACCCCTGTTGCCCTCCATTGGGTCTTTCCTGGGGGGGGGTCCCCTTCTCTGTCAGTCCCTGACTGTATCTCTGGCTCCCCTGCTTCCTGGGCCTTGTCTGGTGTCTGGACCGGGTCTCTCAGCCTTGATGCTTTGACCCACATGCCCTCCCCGAAAGAAGCGCCCTAAAACCCTGGGCCAGTAAGGTGGGGAGGGGGCTGGCTGCTGCAGCAGTTCCGGCTTCCCTTGGGTCCCCCCTAGAGAGCCAGACAGGTCTAGGTCCTGTAATCTGGGGGTTCTGGGAGGGCAGGGGCCAGTCTTGCCTGCATCATTGCACCAGGTGCCTGGCCCAGAGTTTGCGAAATGACCATACTTTTCTCTAGCTGAAGGATGCACGTGGGTCAGAGCAGTGCAGGGCCCTGGTTCCCCGCAGCTGAAGAATGTTGGAGAGAGCAGTTGGGTCGGGCCGCCAGCTGGCTGCCATACTTTGATTGGGGCTGGGCGGGGACTAGATAGTCTGCCTCCCGGGCCTACAGGAGGCCTCCCTCAGCGTTCACGGAGAGTGCACCAAGTGGGACAGCCTAGGGGCCCCTGCTCCTCGGGCCCGGAGTCCCTCCCTCTGGTGTGTGTAGCACTGACGGCCGGGTCCTCTCGGGGGGGGGGGGGGTCTCTCTTGGTGGTGGTTGGGCCTCTAGGCTACCTCAAGTGTGACATGGACGATGCCTCGGAAACCCGTGAGGAGAACCTGGGGGATGAGGCCTTCGACACGGTCACCTCCTCCATTGTGTCTGGCGAGAGCATCCGTTTTTTTGTCAACGTCAACCTGGAGGTGCAGCCCGCCCAGGCTGGTATGGGGGTCGTAGCAGGGCCAGGCTGGGGGAGGGCAGGGCACCGGGGACCGGGCAGACACGGCCGCGCTCCGCCAAGAGTCCCGAGGAAGCGGGGCGGCCCCCTGAGCCCTCCCTCTTTCCTCTAGCCGAGAGTGAGTCGCCGGGCGGCTGCGGGCTCCTACACACCTCCCGCAAGGTGAGTGGCCCGTCTGCAGGACAGGGGACACTTGGTCCTGGGCCACTGATCGAAGGGGGGGGGGTGGGGCGGGGGGATGTGGCTGCTCCCCGTCACACTCAACAGGGGTCTCACACCGGCCCTCGGTCTGGCTGCGGGGGCCCGCCATGCCGGGCTGTCCCTCTTGGAAGGGGTATTGGTCTCAGTGGGCAGGGGCAGCCAGGGGACCAGCACAGAGGAGAGGGCCCAGGGGGCGACGGCAGATCGCACTCACGGGCCTCCGTGGTTCTGTGCGTGGGGGTCCCCACAGTACCTGAAGTTAAAGAACTTTGAGGAAGAGGTACGTGCACACCGGGACCTCGACGGCTTCCTGGCACGGGCCAGCATCATCCTGAACGAGACGGCTACCTCGCTGGATGATGTGCTGCGGGCCATGCTGTCCCGCTTAGCCCATGACCCCCACAACACCGAGCCCGACTGCAATTTGCGCCTGTTCATGGCCATGCTCTTCACGGATGCCGGGGCTCCCATGGAGGGTAAAGGTGAGGCCCAGCTGCCCGACTGGGCAGGGGCGGTCAGGGAGGCGGGCTGACAGACCCCCTTACCCCTTTCACTCCGGCCTCAGCCCACCTGCTGTCAGACACCATCCAAGGGGTCACTGCCACGGCCACAGGGGTGCAATACCAGCAGTCCTGGATCTGCATCATGTGAGTTGCCAGGACACCACAGCCGGCCTCCCCGCGGCTCAGCCTGACCCCCCCCGGGTCTGAGGGCAGAGGGTGTGGGCACTCTGTCCCGTTTGGTCTCTTTCTCTCCCTAAGAGAGGTCACTGGGGGGGTCAGAGTTAGGGGTTCCGGGAGCCCGGCTCCCAAGGTGACAACCAACTGTGTGCTGCGTGCCCTCCCCACCCCGGCAGCTGTACCTCCAAGGCCCTGCAGAAGCGGCACGTGTGCATCAGCCGGCTGGTTCGCCCACAGAACTGGGGAGAGAACTCGTGTGAGGTGCGATTCGTCATCCTGGTGCTGGCCCCGCCCAAGATGGTGAGTAGGGGGTCTCGCGGTGGCTCCTGGGAAGGAAGGCTCCAGGTTACCTGGCCGTCTTCTTGGAGGCATCTCTTCCATGTGCCGGAGAATCCCACAGTCCGGGGCTCACATTGTCCGTCACATCTGCCCTACTGAGTTTCTCTGAAGCGTCCTTGCTGGGTCCTCGTCAAGCCCTAATTTCCCCCAGACGTTGCCCGGGAAGTTGTATTTCCTTCTTGACTGAAAAGAGATACTTCTTAAAATTCGTATCCCTCAAATACGGGAGCTTGTCATTGGCCTCCCCCCACCCCAGTCCTTCTTTCAGTTGGTCGCTTTTGTGATTTGCTGGCCAAGGATCCCCGCTTCTGCCTGGGCCACACACCCCCCTGGTCAGGGGCACCTTGCTTTTGTGGGAGCTGAGGCTGATATAGTTCGAGGAGTCTTTTTTCAAGGAAAATGATTTTTTTTAATGTTTATTTATTTATTTTGAGAGAGAGAGAGAGAGCGTGCACAGGGGAGGGGTGAAGAGAGAGAGAATCCCAAGCAGGCTCCACGCTGTGGGCATGGAGCCCAACGTGGGGCTCGATTTCAGTAATCTCAACATCATGACCCGAGCCGAAATCAAGAGTCAGACGCTTAACTGAGCCACCCAGGAGTCCCTCAAGGAAAAAGATTTCCAAATCATAAATAGAAAACGGCTAAGGCTGCTGCCCAGGACTGAGAAGGGCCTTCATGCTTCAACTTCCTCTAGCTTCTTGATGATTCTGCCCTTGCCTCTGGTACAGACTCAAGCTTGGCATGGCCCTCCTCTGTAGGCTTTCTGTAGGAAAAGTGGGTGCCCCCCAGCAATTTCACAGACGTGCTGTGAGCCTCCCCGAATGCTACTTTGCTGGTGAGAGGGGAAAAGAATTTAGGGAAGTGGCCAGCTCATGGGTCAGAGAGGGCAACAGCTGGCCAGGTGGCCAGAGCAGTGGAAGAGACAGTATCCCCAGGGCTGAGCAGCTAGACTGGTGCCTTGTGACAGGCCAACCAGCCCAACGCCTGGCTCCTCGGGAGAACGAGACTGTTCTTAAGCTAAAGGGAGCAGAGTGTGGGCTGGCTGGCCCTGGGACTACTGCTTTGGGGCAGCCTGAAGGGGCAGATACTGCTCTCAGGGGACAGGTTGCCATGGTAGAGGCTGGACCCTAAGTTCATGGACAAAGTTGACTTTAGTCAGGAAAGGGGAAGGCTTGACAGGCCTGGAGCCCCTCTGAAAATCAAATAAACCAGAGGCACCTGGGTGGCTCAGTTGGTTAAGTGTCCAACTCTTGATGTCAGCTCAGGTGTCGATCTCAAGGTTGGGAGTTCAAGCTACACATTGGGCTCTGCGCTGGGCATCGAGCCTACATACATACATACATACATACATACATACATACCTGCAGACTGTACGAATACCACTAGTGAAACGGAGCTGGGTGAACGTTCTTCTCCATCGCTGTGATTTCATCATCCATGATTATACAAGTTTATGTTCCATGGGACAATACCACTACCTCAGTTTATAAGAACTCATGAGGTTTTTGTTTTTAATTTTTTTAATGTTTATTTATTTTTGAGAGACAGAGCATGAGCGGGGGAGAGGTAGAGAGAGAGAGAGAGGGAGACACAGAGTCCGAAGCAGGCTCCAGGCTCTGAGCTGTCAGCACAGAGCCCGACGCGGGGCTCAAACTCACAAGCCGTGAGATCATACCCTGAGCCAAAGTCGGACGCTTAACCGACCGAGCCGCCCAGGCGCCCCATAACTCATGAGTTGTTTTTTTTTAATGTTTTTATTTATTTTTGAAGGAGAGAGAGAGACAGAGCCTGAGAGGGGGAGAGGTAGAGAGAGAGGGAGACACAGAATCCGAAGCAGGCTCCAGGCTTTGAGCTGTCAGCACAGAAACCGACACGGGGCTCGAACTCACAAACCTCGAGATCATGACCTGAGCCGAAGTCGGACGCTTAACCGACCGAGCCGCCCAGGCGCCCCACTCATGAGTTTTTTAAGGAAGTTCTGAGACTGCCTGTGGTTCTAGTGATCTGCTGACCTGGTGGGAATCATGGTAGAGTCCACTAACACTTGACCTTTGGGGGACAAAACTTGCTGCCAGCTCACAGTGGGGGGCACTTGCCACATGCTTCGGACTGTCAGTGATGGGCAGGGCAGGGTGCCCCCCACTCTCGAGCTGCAGATGTGATTCTCCTGTCCTCTGCCCCCAGAAAAGCACCAAGACTGCAGCTGAGGTGGGGCGCACATTCGCCACCATGTTCTTGGACATCACCTTCCGCCAGAAGCTCTTGAACACCCGCACGGAGGAAGAATTCAAGGAGGCTCTGGTGCATCAGAGACAGCTGCTCACCATGGAGAGGCAGCGTTCATCCATCGGGACAAAGGGTTACATGAACTCCATCAGCATACACAAATCCCCACAGGTACAGGGGAGAGGAGGGCGTGGGCGAGTGGCCTGTGGCGTGGGCCATGGGCCTCAGGGCTGACGGACATCTGTCCTCTTGCCCAGCCCCCGAAGCACAAGGACTTTCTCCCTATGGGGAAGGGCATCCGGGAGGACATTGCCCGCAGATTCCCTGTGTACCCACTGGACTTCACTGACGGTAGGTGGCCCTGTCGTCCCCCCGAAAGCTCAGCCTACGGCTTAGGTCCCAGGACGACACATGTGCCTGTCTTGCATCCCCAACACACTTTCTGTGCTGTCCCATTCCCAGGCATTATCGGCAAAAATAAGGCTGTGGGCAAATACATCACCACCACCCTGTTCCTCTACTTTGCCTGCCTCCTGCCTACCATCGCTTTTGGGTCCCTCAACGATGAGAACACCAACGGGGCCATCGGTGAGGGGCTGGAGGCCGGTGAGGGTGTGGCGGGGGGGCCAAGCACTGCGGCACCTGCCCGACCTCCCCTTCCCCCACTTCTCAGATGTGCAGAAAACCATAGCAGGGCAGAGCATTGGAGGCCTCTTGTACGCACTCTTCTCTGGGCAGCCGCTGGTGGTACTGCTGACCACTGCGCCCCTGGCCCTCTACATCCAAGGTGCAGTGGCCCTTCCGGGGAGGTGGTTCCCACGGTCCCTGGCCCCAGCCTGGCCCTGACCTCCCACCCCTGCCCTGCTGCCTGCAGTAATTTCTGGCATCTGTGACGACTACGATCTGGACTTCAACACCTTCTACGCGTGGACGGGCCTGTGGAACAGTTTCTTTCTCGCGCTTTATTCCCTCTTCAACCTCAGCCTGCTCATGAGTCTCTTTAAGAGGTGACAGAGCCTTCCCCGAGCTGCTGGGACCCTCAAGCAGGAGGGCGACGAAGGCCGGGGAGCTTGGTCAGCCTCCATGCTGGCCTCTGAGGTCCTGTAGTTCTGCAGTGGATGGGGTGCCCCCACCATATCACTGCCCCAGGAGAGAAGCATGCGACCCTGGTCTCCATGGCAGGAGGATGGGGGGCTGTGCAGAGGCTCAGGGAAGCCTACCCTGTGGCCCCCTGACAACTCACCCCCATTTGCTGAGGCATTATCACCCCCTGGCAGGTCAACAGAAGAGATCATTGCCCTGTTCATTTCCATCACGTTCATGCTGGATGCTGTCAAGGGCATGGTTAAAAGTGAGTGTCTAGCTGGTGGCTACCTGCTGCAGGGGGAGCTCAGTTGAGCAGGGGGACTGTGGGCTGTGACCAGGGCGGCCAAGCAGCCTCCAAGCTGAGGCTACTGCCACAGTCCAGGGTGCTCTGGGGACCTGTGACTAGCAGAGACCAGCAGCCCCATGTAATGGAGGGTGACCGGGCTGCCTCAGGCAGGATCAGAGGCGCCGGGCCATGCGTGAGCCACTGTCAGAGATGGGGGTGGGGGGTGGACAGGCAGGTCAAGGGGGTCCTGGCTGACAGAGAAAGGCAGTCCCCTCCCTTCCCCCCTGCCCCCAGAAGCCTTTTCTCCCCTCAGGGCCCCCTCCGCCCCACATCCAGGAGGAAGCTGGGCCTCAGTCTCCCAGAGCCCTGATGGCTGAGGCCTGCTGGCCTGTATAGTCTTCCAGAAGTACTACATTGACAACTTTGGGAACCACCATGAAGACAACACTTCTATGGTGAGCCTGCTGGGCCTCGGCACCAGCCTCAACACCAGCCTCCACACCGCGCTCAACACCAGCCTCCTGGCGAGCCCCCTGGAGTTGACCTCCGTAAGCGGCCCTGGTACTGAGCACCCAGGCCGGGAGACTGCTGTACTGAGCCTCCTGATCATGCTGGGCACGCTGTGGCTGAGCTACACCCTCTACCAGTTCAAGAAGAGGTGAGGGGGGCCTCGGGGTGAGGGGAAGGAGGCACCGGCCCCCAGGCCGCGCTCATACACCCGCCTGCGTCCCCAGCCCCTACCTGCACCCCTACATGAGGGAGATCCTGTCAGACTGTGCCTTGCCCATCTCGGTGCTCACCTTCTCTCTCATCTGCTCCTACGGCTTCCGGGAAATTAAAAGTGAGTTGGGCTCAGGCAGGGGCCGCGGTGGGGTGGGCTTGCTCCTCGGGGCTGCAGGCTTGAGCAGGGGCCTGTACCCTGCTGCAGTGAGCCAGTTCCGCTACAACCCCAGCAAGAGCCTGTTTGAGGTAGCCGAGATGCACTCCCTGTCCCTGGGCGCCGTCACCAGTGCCATGGGCCTGGGCTTCCTGCTCTCCTTGCTCTTCTTCATTGAGCAGAACCTGGTGGCTGCCTTGGCTAATGCCCCAGAGAACAGGTTTGCGGGGCTGGGTGGGGAGGGGCGAGTGCGTGCCCGGCCCTCCGAGGGGCCACGGGTGTCCCGCCACACGTGCCCCTGTCCGCTGCAGGCTGGTGAAGGGCACCGCCTACCACTGGGACCTCCTGCTCATCGCCATCATCAACAGTGGGCTGTCTCTGTTTGGGCTGCCCTGGATCCATGCCGCCTACCCCCACTCCCCACTGCACGTGCGGGCATTGGCCATGGTGGAGGAGCGTGTGGAGAACGGGCACATTTACGAGACGTGAGTGTGAGAGTGGTCCCTGGAGGCCGGAGGCAAGTCATGTGGACCCTGAGGTGGGGGTAACCCTGGGCCACCTGTGACCTAGGAAGGGATACGGCTCAGGAGACTAGGGCCCCAGAAGTGAAAGAGCCCAGGGCCCCACGTGTGACCTGAGGCGGGGGTGGGGGGGCGGCATGCCCCGCACACCAGGGCCGGAGGTGATCTGGCGCTCTGGGACCGCACAGGATCGTGAATGTGAAGGAGACACGGCTGACTACGCTGGGTGCCAGCATCCTGGTGGGCTTCTCCCTCCTGCTGCTGCCCTTCCCCCTGCAGTGGATCCCCAAGCCGGTGCTCTACGGCCTCTTCCTCTACATCGCGCTCACCTCCATAGACGGCAACCAGCTCTTTGAGCGCGTGGCCCTGCTGCTCAAGGACCAGGTGAGTGTCCGGCCTGGAGAATGAGGGGTGGGGGAGGGAGGTCCAGTTCCAGACCGGCCCACACCTGTCCCCTGCCGCCCCGCAGACCTCGTACCCGCCCACCCACTACATCCGGAGGGTGCCCCAGCGGAAGATCCACTACTTCACGGGCCTGCAGGTCATGCAGCTGCTGCTGCTCTGTGCCTTTGGCATGAGCAACCTGCCCTACATGAAGATGATCTTCCCCCTCATCATGATCGTCATGATCCCCATCCGGTACGGGACGGCGGGCAGAGGCAGCAGAGACCCCACTGGGTGGGAGACAATGGGTTAGGGTGGGCGGTGGGCCAGAGGGGCCCAGCCTGGCCCCGTGGGGGGTTGCGGGGAGTAGCCTCCGCCTTCTCCTCTCTGACCCAGTGCTCATCTTGCGGTCTGTTCGCTGTCCCCGCAGCTACAACCTGCTGCCCCGAATCATTGAAGCCAAGTACCTGGACGTCATGGATGCTGAACACTGAGGCCCTGGCCGTGTCCCATTCACCTGTCCCTTTGGCTCTTCCCAGGCTGACTGTAGCCATGTGGGGAGAGGTACGGGTGTCTTTTGGGGTGTTCCTGTGTGCTGCACTCCCACCCAGCTGTCCCAACAGGACTAGGACATCTGGGCATCAAGGTGGGGGGTGGGGGGGGGTTCCGTGGCGTGTGCCCATCCCTGTCCCCATTAGCCTTTCGCTTGGGTCAGTAACACTGCTCAGGACAACTTCTGCCCAGAGTGGAACTAAAGCCGGATTTTCTTTTGATAAAAGAGTCAGATGTCTGAAAGAGAAACCATTTCCTTGATTGTATAAGGAATTTGCTGTGTGCACATTAGAGAATAAAGCTCCCGTTTCTACGCTTCCATCTCTGTTGTCCCACCCTGCCCCGGCCTCAGAAGGCCACCTGAGAATAAAAAAATGTGAAGGGGAGGTGGAATGAAAAGGACCGGTGTTTGTGGAGCGCCGTCTGTGGACTGTCCCCTCCGACCCCGCACAGTGGATGCTGGTCCAACAGGGAAATGCGGAAAGATCCAGGCCTCGGTGTTGCTGTGTTGCCAGGAAACTGCAGGGGAAGTATTCTGGGAACAGCATGTGCGAGGGCCCTGAGGAGGGCCCTTCGGGGCCAGTGAAGGGCCATGGCTGGTGGAGAGAGCAGGGCTGATGGCCATGAGCCTGGGTTCCCAGAGGCAGCTGCAGAGCAGCCCAACAGATTGAAAAACAGGCGCACGTAGGTCAGAGCTGCAGTTGCAACGTGTCCCCTCTGCTGAGTGGGTACAGATTTTATACGTTGGGGGGTATGGGTACAGGGGCGGGGGGGCAGGGGCTGCACTTTGCACCAGGGCCCTGAGAGTGGGGATGAACTGAAGTGGGAAGAATCCAAATGGCAGGATGCAGGGATTGGTTTGCCGGAGGGGAGAAGGTGCCGTGTTTCTGGTCTGGTCATTTGGTGGTTGGCCAGAGTCCGTGGCGGGAGCAGGGAATACAGATCTGAGACTCTGGCCATATCGGGGGCACCGGCAGTGGTAGAGCACCTGGCTCACGGACCCCATCACACACCTTACAGGACTTTGGCTTGACAAATACACCACAGACCAAGGGAGACATCTGCTACCTCTAATAACTAGATATGCTAAGAATTTCTGCAAACCAACAAAAAAAGACCATGACTCCCAACCCCCAATAGAAAAGAGGAAAACCTACGGTGGGGGGCACCCAAACGGTAACAGGCGGCGAGAATGCCCTTGGGTACCTGAGAAATGCAACCCGACGGTGAGATGGTATCTTCCACTTATAACTGGCAACAATGACCCTGCCCTGGCTGGATGGACGGCAGAGCGGGAGAGGTGTATCCCCTGGCTCGCTGACTGGAGGAATGGGGACCAGGCACAATCAAGACCCGTCTTCCAACTGCGCGACTGCTCCTGGGCAGGTGGCGTGGGTCCGAACACTCACGGCGCTGTGTGCGGGGATGGGTAGCTCAAGGTTAACAAAGGGGGACAGTGTCCTGTGGACCCAGGACATCACTTTAAGAGTTGAGTAGCAAGCACAGAGGGCTGCCCTGCCCTAAGCCCCAGGTCCCCACTCCATGCATGTGGCTCATGATCCTTTGGGGCCCCCTCCCCAGGGGCCTAGGTGTCCCCTGCAGGTAGGGCCTTATCCAGAATCACCAGGCCAGGAGCAGACAGGTCCCCAGTACCCCATGCCTGAGCCCAGTCAGACGTCACTCACTACCAAGGAGACAACTAGAGAAGGCTGGGTCTGGCCCTGGCACTTCCTGGGGAGATAAGCCAGCTGAGCCTCACAGGCAAGTGGGGAGCAAAGGAATGCTGTTCTGTCCTCACCCACACACAATGATGCAGTTTCAGGGAGGAAACAACAGTTAAACTCAGGCCCTGGGCCATGCTGCCAGGACTGAGGAACAGTGACTGGAAGTGACATTCTCCAGAGCTGCCTGTGAGCACAGAAATAAGCCCGGGAGGGACTCCCAGCATTATGTTCTCCCCTCCCCCATTGCACACAACAGGCTTTTCTGAATATCCTCAGGGTGGGCACCTCCTCCTTATCAGAGAAACCTGCAGGGAAGGAAAGGGAGCCACCCCAGCCCCTTAAAGTCCCGTCCAGAAAATGGCTTCACTGGGTCACAGCGAGGGCCTGGGGCAGCTGAGACAAGCTTCCCGAAAAGCTTGGAGGCCCCAGGCTGAACCATGTCATGTCATCCCACTGGGATCAAGATTCCACCCTGTTCCCCTGCCATACAAATGAACTTGGCATTATAATCATAAACCAACACTTTGGCTGCTCTAATGCCATAGTGAAATACTGCGACAGCACTCAACATTCTGCATTGCCTGCCCCCAACCCAGCAAACACCATGGAGGCCAGCTGGGTGGTGGCATCCCACAATGGGTGGGTGGGCGGTGTGGATCTGGCCAAGAAAAGATCAGCTTGTGATCAGAGACTTCAAGAACGAAAGGAAAGATGCGCTACTCCAGCACCCTCAGCTGCCACCCTTGTCCCACCATCACCCCAACCTGAGAGGTTTCCTGCTCCTGCCAAAAGGGACTCGGGAGACAGACAACTGCCCAGGGCAGGTTTCAAAATGGACGTATCGTTTATTTTGGAGACAAGTGTCTTCCAGTACTCTTACTTGTTGCATTTTTTACACATCTAGGGCTATTTGCGTGGTTCTTCCCGAAATCTCCATCCTGATGTAGCCAGGATAACATCCAAGGTCCTTTTAGGATCCTAAGCCAGGGGCTGCAGGAGGGACCACTGAATCCCCGAGGGCAAGAAAATGGTGTCCCTGCCCAAAGTTTCTCCAAGCAGAGCCAGCTGCTCCTCCAAGCAGGGCTGGTGAGGTGGTCTCAACACCCCTAGCAAGTGGGAACCCTGAAGGAAGTACTTGGAGGGGTGCCTGATGGGGGAGGTTTCGGGCTAGGTTTCCCCAGATCCCCCACCAGAGCGACTGTCACCGGCTACCGGAGGACTCAGGCTGCCAAAGTATTTCTGCAGCTCAAGCAGGGCCCGGAAGCGATGGGAGATGGTGTTCTTCTCAGCTTTGGGCATCTCTGCGTACCTAAGGGGCAACAGCAGCAGTTCAGAGGAGCCCGGATTCAGGGGGTGTGCATCCCTCACCTGCCTCGGAGCCCCAAGCTCAAGGAGTCACCAGGAAAGGGTGGCGGGGCCACCAGCTCCTGACAGCCAGGGTTAATTTTTTAAAAAACTGGAGAGAATTTTAAATTCCCCTGTAGCTGGAAACCCATATTAATGAGTGCGGAAAGATGTTAGATTTGCTCTACTGTCCAAAAGTCATTAAGGGAAGCCAGGGACTGGGGGATAAGCTACATATTTGATCAGCTTTGTCATCTGTTGACAGGAAGCAGTGGGGCCTGACAGAGCAAATACGACAGTCTCCTCTCATGTACTGCGGGGGTGGCACGGGACAGCCGACCAGTGGCCACTCCTCCACATCAGGACTCTAGAGAATCCCACACCCCACTTGGGTACTTTAGAGCCGTGCTGTCCGCTATGTGGCCACTAGCCACAAGCGGCCATTTGAATTGAAATCTACCACAATGGAGTAAAAATAATTTCAGTACCTCAGCCACCCTAACCACGTGTTGGATTGAACAGAGCGGACATAGAGCATTTCTGTCCCTTGCATTCTTGGGACAGTGGGGCTTCATGTTGTCCTCAGCCCTGTTTGGCTATTGTGAGGCCCCAGGCCACACTCCCTAAGGGCCCCTCTAGCCTGGAACACTTGATTCCAATAATGGCCAACATGTCCAGTGTAAATAAAGGGGGTGGGGTTTCCGTGACACACTGAGAATGCTTGGCACCGTGGGGGTTTCATGAGGTGCCCACCAGAGGCTATAAATATTAACGCTTTTCCAAACCAGATAGGGAAGTCGAATCATCCCACAGAAATGTCAGGGCGGAAAGGGGAAAGCACTGCAGTCCGGCAGCTGCTCCATGGCGAGCTGGAGCCCGGGCGCCCAGGACTCCCAGCTCCGCCCGGCTGCCCCTACGCTGGAGACTGGCCCACTCGGATTCCTTGAGTCCACCCCAGCGGAGCTGCCTTCAGCTGGAACGGCAGCCCGTGGCCCGGCCCCGCCCGTGCCTGCGTGCCTGCACTGAGGCGGGGCGCTGATCCAACCCAGACTGTGGCTATCCTGACCCCACATCCCTGGGAGAAAATGGAGCTCCTTACGTCTGCTCGTATCCATCAGGCTGAAAACAAGGATCCCAGCCGAAGTCCCGGCAGCCTCGGGGCACCACAATCCGGCCCTGCCAGACGAAAGGGAGGGACAGGTATGTCACTGGCCATAGAGGAGATGCACTAGAAGGGTAGTAGCCAGTGTGAGTTCAGTTTGGTTAAGCCCCATTTACTCAAAAGATACGGTTTCAAGGGGTCCATGGTACCTGCAAATGTTTGCTGAATACACAAATAATATGCAGTGGGGCAGCTCTCCCTTCTCTCTCTCTCTCTCTCTCACACACACACACACACACACACACACACACACACACAGAGACACACGGAAGAATGACAAACTTGAGCCCACAGATACAATGATACCCCTGGGGTCACCTGCCCTCCCTAGCTTTCACAAACTGTGACCTCAATAAAGAAGAAAGTCAACTTGGAAAAAACTGACAGAAAACATTTTCTCTTAATAGAAGTTATAAGGTGCCAAACTATGCAAAGAAGCCCTCTGCCTGCTACTCAATTTTTTTAAACAAATGTTTTATTTTTAGTGAGAGAGAGAGAGAGAGAGAGAGAGAGCGAGCACGAGCAGGGGAGAGGTAGAGAGAGGGAGAGAGAGAATCCCAAGCAGGTTCTGCACTGTCCCTTCACGTGGGGCTCGATCTCACAATAGTGAAATCATGACCTGAGCTGAAATCAGGAATTGGATGCTTGACCAACTGAGCCACCCAGGCGCTCATTTTTATTATGCTAAGTGAAATAAACTGCTGCATTTCTCAAAGTACAAAGGAGGCCCTAATAATTAAATGAAGAAACAGAAATCACTTAGCACAGTGTCCAATACACAAATGAGTTCAGTAAATACTGGCTGTAATAGGCAAATTCCAACAGAATAATGTTAACAAAGAACAATTTAACTCAGCATCATGAGCTGTCATGTTGCCATAAAAGTTAAAAAATAATAAGGGGCTCCTGGGTGGCTCAGTCAGTTAAGCTCTTGATTTCGGGTTCTTGATCTCGGCTCAGATCACAATCTCACGGTTTGTGAGCTCGAGCCCCGCACTGGGCTCTACGCTGAAAGCGTGAAGCCTGTTGGAGATTCTCTCCCTCTCTTTCTGCCCCTTCCCTGCTCGTGCTCTGTCTCTCTCAAAATAAATTTAAAAACTTAAAAATAGTAACAATAATAATAATCTTAAAAATACAAGGGAAGTGTGCCTGTGTGGCTCAGTCAGTGAAGCATCCATCTAGGTTTCTGCTGGAGTTGTGATTTCACAGTTCAGGAGTTTGAGCCTTGCGTAAGGCTCTGTGCTTACAGCTTCAGATCCTCCCTCTCCCTCTCCCTCTCCCTCTCCTCCTCCTCTACTTGCTCTCTTGGTCTTTCTCTCTCTCTCTCAAAGTAAATAAACTTAAAAAAAAATAAATAAATACAAGGGAAGCAGTAGAGGATGAGGATGAGCCAGTAGCCATAACTGCCAAACTGTTCAGACCAAAGGCAAATTCTGCTACCGCTAGCGGGGAGCTATGTGACCAAGGCCCACAGCTGACCACTCTGAACCTCACCCACACCACGAACGGTGGGGCAGGCAGTGTTCTCAGCACTGGGGTCATAGCAGGCCCAGCCTTACCCTCATAGAATGGGTCTCTTTCGCAAAACAGGCTTTCCACCAGTCAACAGATTAACGATTACCAAATGCAAAGTGCCTTTGAGGGAACAGACAGGAAGCTGGGCTCAAGAACAACAGCATGGAGTAACCCAGATGAGGAACTCCATGAGGAGACACTTTAGCCACATACAGTGCTGGGCAAGAACACTCCAGGTGGTAGTCACAGCCGGTGTCAGGACCCAAGATGGGGAAGGGCTTGGCACGGGCGTTGCAGAAAAGACAACGTGACTGGGTTTAGAAAGCTCGAGTGAGAACAAAACCAGAAGAAACAAAGCCACCTCAGCGAAAGCAGAGGCTGGCCGACAACAAAGTGCGTGAAGCAGCCAGAGCTGCGGAGACAAGAGGAAATAGGGAACGGGGACCCCAGGGAGCAAGCCCCATCAGCAGGGCCTGCAGTCATTCATATTTCTGATTTTCTAGAGAACATTTCTGTGAAAGTAGCAGAGAACTACGACTAATTTTTCCCAGCAATTATGATCCAGCAATCCTGGCTCTGTTCAGCCAAAAGAACTGAGCACAAGATCAAGAGGTATCTGCACACCCATGTTCATAGCAGCATTATTCACAATAGCCGAATGTGGAGGCAATTGAAACGCCCATCGATGGATAAATGGACAAAACAAATGTGAATATACATACAATGGATATTATTCAGCCTCAATAAAAAGGAGGAATTCTGTCACATGCTACAACACAAATGATCCATGACGGACATTATACTAAGAAATAAGCCAGCCACAAAAAAGACAAATAATGTACGTAGGATTCCACTTATAGGAGGGGCCTGAAGTTGCCAAACTCTTAGAAACAAAAGTGGAATACCAGTTGCCAGGGTTTAGTGGGGAGGGGAAAAGGGGACTTTTTGCTCAATGGGTATAGTTTCAATTTTGCAGGATGAAAAAGTTCTAGAGATCTGTTGTACAACAGGGCACACATTCTCTCTCTCCCTCTGCCCCTTCTCCCCTGCACACACTCTCTCTAAAATTAAAATATATATATATACATATATATATATATATATATATATATATATATATATATGTATATATATATAACCAGCAGGGCATGATGAGATGTCTGTGGGCAACCCCCAGAGGAGCCTCTGGGGTATGGCTCTGCGGGCCACAGGAGACTCTGGATTTTATCATGAGAAGGGACTGGCAGAGGAGTGATGTGCCAGAATGCATCCTCCCGACACAAGGATGGAACAGCCGCACTGTCAGGGGAGCAGGCCAGCCCAGAAGGTGGTCTGGATCCTGTGAGAAGCACAGGGGTGTGTTTCCGAACCCAAGGGTGTGCTAGGCAGGCATGGGTGTGTTCAAGGGCAGTCAAGGAAGGAATGAGCTAGGGGAAGAAGATTGCACAGGAACATGAAAAGTTGGAAAGGCTGTGAGATGCTCAAGGGAAGCTATAGCCTCAGCAGTTGGATAAAAAGACTTGAGCTGGAAGCAACTGGGGTTGTCCATGTAGCTCTGGGAGTTGACACCTTCAGTTCCATATCTGCTTCCTAGAAGGGCACACAGTGCAGAGCTCTAGGTATACCAGGCCTCAACAGCCATGAGCCACTGTGTGTATCCCAGAAACAACAGTCTCAGAGGTCAAATAGATTTGGGGATTGACAGCACTTCTGGTTGTCATGCCCAGGGGCATGCCTGGGCAAAGCTCTGAGAACTAACTGGCCAGGAGGGCCCTTCCCACCACCCTCCTGCATTAGACCCTGGGCCATTGGCTCAAGCCACAGCACCCTCTGGTGGCACATAGGGGAACTATTATTCGTACGCACCGAGGTCCGGCCCCTGAACAGGCGCACTGGCTCGCTGGGGTCCCCGGTGCTGAGTGCAAACGTGCAGAGCGCATAGGCTGACTTGTCCTCAAACCCAGCCAGGAGCTGGTGGAGACCTGTGGGGGGGGTGGGGGGAATACAGTGATGGCTATGCAGCTCAGCTCCCAGCCTTACTCCCCATCCCTGAATCCCTGGATGGGGGAGCCACCAAATGTGGGGAGCTTATACATGTCATCAGATAGGTTCCGTGCTTATAACCCTGGAAATTGGGTGACGGGCACATGGAGCTCATTATTCTATTCTACTACTGTATATGTTTGAAATGCTCCATAATATAAAGTGTTTTTAAAGCACCTAAGGAGGGGACATTTTGGCCCACAACGTGACAGGGTATGCAAGGGGCGGCCAGTCCCCCAGCCCCCAGCCCAGGCCCTCGCTAAGGCAAGGACAGGCCAGCAGTCAATAGGGCCAGCCCTCTCAGCCAGAATAAACTGCAGCGCCTTTGTCTCCAAAACTCACAGCACCCCCACTCCCACTCCCACTCCCATCTTCTCAGAGCTCCCTGGAGCTGGGTGTGTGTAGGGAGAGTGGCAGCTGCTCTTATAGATAGTGAAACAGATGAACACAGGCTCCATGGTGGGGGCTAGAACCTGAGATTCCTGATTACTAGTTGGGATTCCTCCACTGGACCACCTCCAGATTCTCAATTCCCAATAGATAAAAGAAGAGATAATAAAGGAGATTAATACCTTCAGGCTTTAACTTCTCCAGAAACCACTTTCTGCAAGAGAAACGAAGGTGAATCAGACAACAGGAGCAGCTGGAGCTTCCTACCATCTTCTCTGGGCTGCACTCCTCAGGGAGTAGAGCCCTGGGACGGCCATATGACAGGACAGAAAATGCCGTCATTCAAAATGAAGAGGAGTAATAGGAAAAAGGATGGAGGCATACAGGCAATGCACAGATCAATAAACCTATGAAGACCTCAACCTCACTGGTAATTAGAAAAATGCAAACTAAAACCAAATGTGGCTAACACTTCACATCCCCCACACTGCAAAACACTGAAGCCCTAAGCGCTGGTGAGGGTATGGTGCAATACACGTAAGGTACAGCTGCCCTGGCAGACATACTGGCGATCCAAAAGCTCAACATATACAGATCCAAAACCCAGCAAAAGCACTTCTGTGCATATGTCCTCCAACCCCGGCCAAGGGTATTCAAATCGGGGTATTTGTATCCTAGAGATACACAAGGACCACCTGAGGGTGTCCAGAGCGCTGGATAGTTTTAAGGAAATCCATTTTCAGATCTCAACTTCTTTATTTCCTTTTTCCTGAAATTGATCTGCCACGAATGTACCTCTCCAGCGGGTGGGTTCCTCTTGCCCATCTCCACTTACACAATCACATTCTCACACTTTACAAAAGAAAGAAAGGCATGCCTCTCCCCCATCCCTAATCCCTTCTCAGGACAATGTGAAATATTGGTGCTGACACCAAGACAGTGAATGACCCACAGTATTAGGTAACCAATCATTTCAAAGTTCAGGTGGTTTTGTGGCCAGGCGCCTGCAAGGGGAGCACTCACATGTAGGGGCCAGGGAGGCCCCCAAGGGCGTTGAAGCACAGACAGGTGTCCTCCACCAGTACGGGCCCCTGCACCTGCAGCACATGGAAATGGAGCCCTGAGACCTGTGACCAGGAGTGGGCCCTGTCCCTAGCCTGAATTCCTAGGCCACCCTGGCTGGGGCCAGACACACAGCTAGTTGTGATCTGTAGCAGCAGGAAACAGCTACAGGAAACAGCCCTTGGGTAATCTCTTATCTTCACTTTAGAGATAGGAACACCAAAAACCTGGCAGGTTGTAAAGCTTATTCCAGGCACAGCAACAGGAGAGCTGAAAGCTGAGATTCACACTCAGGCTCTTCATAAAGTGCTCTTTCTCAATTCCACAGAGATGTGTGAGTGCAGCGGTAGATAGATATGTGTGGGGACAATGTAGGGATTGGAGTGTATGTATCTGAAAATCAGAGAGAGAAGTGTGTGTGTGTGTGTGTGTGTGTGTGTGTGTGTGGTGGTCTGGGAGATACTATGCAGTCAATGTTGAGAAGAAAGAAACATTAATTGGCCCCACTCTAGCTGGCCTGGGCAGGTCCTTGAAGTTTTGACCAACTGTGCCCACCCTATTATTCTCTGCCTGAGCCCAGCAGGCACAGCCCCCAGGAGCCCCCAGGACAAGAGGAACAAGTATGGGACACGCGAGGAACAAGCACCTGGCGAGCTGCCTCCTGACACTTCTGTATGGAAATCTCATCAGGCTCTCCCTGGTACTCTGGCACTTATTGGAGAAACAGACACACAGAGAGTCAGGTAACAGGGAGACAGAGAAATGGAACGAGTTTTCAAAAATAAAACAAAACAGAGACATACGGTCAATTTTCTGTGCCACCAAAGTGCATGGAAACTTATCTCCCAGAATCTGAATGACCTGTTCCAAAATGAAAGAACATTTATCACCATTTGTTAACAATTTCCCCATACTACACAAGCTGTCGTCTACTTTTCTCTTCAGGTAATTCTCGGGCCAGTCCCCTCAGGCTTACCAAATTAGGCCCATGAGCCTCACTCTAGACTTCAGGGCCCCACTCCAGCAGGTCAGCTTCCCCATCTGCTCAGCCTCCTACCCCTCCTACTTCAGGTCTCTCTGTTCATGTTAACCAGCTACCCGGAATACCCTCTCCCCTTCTCCCTGCTCCCTGCAACTCTACCTAGCCTCCTATTCCAGTTCTCGATCAGGGGTTACCCAGAATTCAAGAAGCCTGTAAACCTGGATGGGAAAAAATACCTTTTTATTTTCACTACTCCCTAGTTGAAATTTAGCATCTTTTCCAATTGTGAATATAGAAAACCAAAACAGCATCAGCAGTTCCTGTGACCTTTAAATCTATTAAAATCACACATGTGGGGTTGAGCATCCGTTTCAGCTCAGGTCATGATCCCAGGGTTGTGGGATTGAGCCCTGCATCAGGCTCCATAGTAAGTGCGAAGCCTGCTTAGGATTCTCTCCCTCTGCCCTCTCTTCTGCTCACTCTCTCTCTAAAAATAAAAAATAAAATCACACATGTTGTCATATTCCATTATAGCTATAGCAGAATCTCACAATATTTACAATACTCTTTTAAAATTATGGTAACAGGGGCGCCTGGGTGGCTCTATCGGTTAAGCCTCCAACTTCAGTGCAGGTCATGATCTCACGATTAAGTGAGTTTGAGCCCCGAGTTGGGCTCTGTGCTGACAGCTCAGAGCCTGGACCCTGCTTTGGATTCTGTGTCTCCTTCTCTCTACCCCCCCACCACCCCGTTCGTGCTCTGTCACTCTCTATCTCAAAAATAAATAAACATTAAAAAAATAATAAATGAATAAAATAAAAGTATGGTAATTACACATTGCTAGATTGAATCCTTTAATGCGTTAATAAAGTATATGTTAACTAGATCACAAACATTTATATTTTGAACTTTCTTTCCTTTTTTTTTTTTTTAAGTTTATTTATTTGTTTTGAGAGAGAGAGCGCACAAGCTGGGGAGCGGCAGAGAGAGGGAGAGACAGAATCCCAAGCAGGTTCCATGCCATCAGCACACAGCCTGATGCAGGGCTCGAACTCACCAACTGTGAGATCATGACCTGAGCCAAGCTCAAAAGGTAGACACTTAACCAACTGCACCACCCAGGCGCCCCTACAAATATTTATATTTTGAGAATTGTACAACAGAATTTCCTTTGTGATGGTGCTCTGTTCCGCGTGTCACTACTTGTCTGTTTGGTCTGGCCTCAAGATCCCAAACTTTTCATTAGCACAGGGCTCTGGCTCCTGAGTAGGACACCCTGTACTGGTACAGAAGTGCTATCATTCTCTATACTGCAGACAAATGAAGGGGCCCCTAATGACGGCATCCCACTCGTCTGCCTCAGACATATCTAGCGGATGTCACCGATTTTGCACCATGACTCACCTCCTTGGCCATGGCTGACTGAGCAGGGGGAAACCCTTGACCAAAGCAAAGCTAATCAGAGCTAATGTATGGCAGAAGCCTCACTGCCCCCTCCAGCAGGAGGGAAGGAAGCAGAAAAACACCAGCAGGAAAGGGATGAGCATCCAGAGAGAACTACAAGGACTAGATAGGCCCTTGAGAGGCTCAAGTCTTGTGAGACATCACATTGTAACATTGTATTACTAGGAAAAGTCACCTGGTGGTTTATATAAACTTCTGGTGTCCCTATTACTTGCTGCCAAAGGCTATCCGTCCACCCGCAGAATCCTCACAGCTAGCCACAAATTCCCAGAGGCAGGAACTCTGGATCCATTGCCTCTCTCACTCCTCCACCCAACTGGTTTGTGAAACAGACCTCTCAAATCATCCCCATTTCACAGAGAAGGAAACAGGCTTGGAAACGCTGAGGACCACATTTCTGAACCGTGGTGGGGCGTGGACGGCTCAGTTTGGATGCCTGCCCCACGCGTTGTCTGGCACTCCTGGGTCCGCAGGGCGGCCTGGATCAGCTCCAGAGGGGTGTCAAGAGGCACGGTTTGGGGTCTAGCTTAATAGGTGACCACTGGGACAGGTACTATGGACCCGGCACTCCTTTGGCTCCCGCAACCCCGAGCTCACAAGCCCGGATCTGTCAACGCCATCATTCTATCAAGGCCAACCACCGGCCGCCCCACTCCGCGCACAAGGCTGTTTCACTCCACGAGGCCCAGCCCGTTCCACACGCCCGGGTCCGCCTCTCCGTGCCCCCTCCACCTGGAGACCGCTTCTCTCCGCCCTATCCTCAGCGGGCCCTGCCACACGCTACCCCCCAGCCGCCTACTGGTCGGCCTCCCGCGCCCTCCCGGCACCTCCTCCAGCTTCTTGGCGTTCCCCGTGACAAACACGATCTTCTTCCCGGCTAAGGGGGCCGCCATGCCGAACCGCACGCATGACCCACAGGAAGCCCCTTTGCCTCGAGTGGCAGGCACTTCCGGCTGGCGCGCGGAAGCGGGCGGCACGGCTTCCGGCTTAGCGTCCCGGACAAGGCAGCTTTAGGCTCCCGGGAAGCGCGTCCTCTGTGAGCGGCAGCCTAGCTGCCTTTGGGGCGAGAAGTCCGCGCTGGGGGCTCGGCTTCCTTGCTCAGATTCCGGGAGCAGAGCGCCTCTTATCTGGTTGAGCAGCCTGGGGCGCCGGGCGCTACAAGGGGGGAAAATGGCGCGGCCCGTCTGCGCCGGAATTGCTAGGTCTTCCAGAGACTGGCGGTCGAGACCAGGCCCTCCCGCCAAGGGGCGCTCTTTTCGAGGACTAGGAGAGACCATTGCAACCACTGCCCCCTACCCTGCTTTCTCCCCACTCTGGGAAGGGGGCACCGAGGGAGGCTAAGAACCTTCACGGTAATGAGCTGCAGTCTTGTGCTCTGGGCGGTTCGCGTTCTCCGCGGGCGCCTCCAAATCTGCCTCTGAGAGCTGTTTCCTTCTGGGCAAGGGCTGCAAACCTGGGTCTTTATCCTGACCTCATCTTCAGCCCCACTCCCGTCTCTCCTTTCCCGCCAAGTCTGACCGTGGGTTAAAAACAAAAACAAAACCAAAACTTGTTTTAAATTAAGATATAATTAACATATAATACTGTATCAGTTTCAGGTGTACAACTAATGGCTTGATCTTTGTATACATTTGGAAGCGTTCACCTCCGTAAGTCTGGTTAACATCGATCACCTTATGTATTTTTTCTTGTGATGAGAACTTTTTGGATTGACTCTCACTAACTTTGAAATATGCAGGACGTAGTCAACGTGCTACCATGCTGTACATCTCCAGGATTATTTATTTTACAACTGGAAGTTTGTACCTGTCAACCCCCTTCACCCATTCTCCAGTCACCCAACTACCAGTCTGTTCTCGTTAACTATGAGTTTGTTTGTTTTAAATATTTATTTTTGAGAGAGCGTCAGCGGGGGAAGGGCAGAGAAAGAGAGGGAGACGGAGGATCCCAAGTGGGCTTTGCACTGACAGCAGCGAGTCGGATGTGGGGCTTGAACTTACCCTGAGATCATGACCTGAGCTGAAGTTGAGGGTCAACTGACTGAGCCACCCAGGCGCCCCTGTTTTCATTTTTTTAGATCCCGCTACTTGCCTTTGAATTTAAATTTGGCATAGGCTAAAACAAACCTGGTCTTTTCACCTGTCTCCCAGGCTTGAGACCTCCGTGTTTTGACTCCCTCATTCCCTCATCTCTACAGCCTCTCAGATCCATCATGCCTTCTCCATGCCCACTGCCTCAGCCAGTTCTTTGCATCCTGAAAACAGTGAAGGGGTACAGGATGAGATGCCCCAAAATGTGCCAATGTGGCACAAAGATTATTCCGAGTTAAAAGTAATGAAAATGCAATCGATGCAGGAAACGCTATCTCCCCACCCCCCCCCCCAACTGCCTAAATTTACATTGGAAAGGAGAGCCTGCAACAGGAAGAGAAGTATTAATTAACAGAGACCCCCCTCCCTTTATGAAGGCATTTATCTGCATAATAGAGCAACCTTGTTTTTTCCAAATATCTCTTTTCACCTTGCTAATCAGTTTTCTTCCCTTTGTATCCTCAGTCCCCTACCCCTTCTCCTCCTAGTGAGCCTCACATTGCCCCTTTGTCTTATTGGAGGCAGCAATTTCATTGTCTTGGGATGTCTTGTCTATGTGGATTCCCTATACACATGCCTTTTAAATGTGATTTTTCTCAGGGCGCCTGGGTGGCTCAGCCAGTTGAACGTCCGACTTCGTCCCAGGTCACAATCTTGCGGTTTGTGAGTTTAAGCCCCGCATCAGGCTCTGTGCTTGGAGCCTGCTTCTGATTCTGTGTCTCCCTGTCTGCTCCTCCCCTGTTCACGCTCTGTCTCTGTCTCTCTTTATCTCTCAAAAACACTAAAAAAAATTTTTTTAATGTGGTTTTCTCCTCTTAATCTCTCATGTCAATTTGATTCTAAATCCTTCTAGGAGGACTGTAGGACAGAGGAAGTTCTTTCTCCCTGACAGTACAAAGAGTAGGGAGTGCCCCCAGCAGACCCACCTGTACCAGAGGCCTTGGCCCAATGCCGACATCCCCAGTGAACAAATCACCTGTCTCCTTCCTCCAGGGACTCAGCAAGGGCAGATTCAGGGTGGTTCTTTACTGGTGAGGAAACTCCTGACAGAGCATCAGAAGTCAGAGGTCTGTCAGTGCCTGGATGAGTTATTTTGCTTAATGTTCTTGTCCTCTGATAATCCCTTTTTTTTTTTTTTTTTTTTTAGACCCTCAAATTTGTCAGGGAATATCGAAAAATTCCCATGTTCTCTAAAAACCTTTGCTCAATGACGTTACCATAGCAGGAATGTTGCAGAGGCCAAAAGGCATTACTGTGCCCTGTGGTGGTGGGGGGGAAGGGGGTCTGAAGTTTCCTGTTTAGGCAATGTACGAGGGTCCTTGGAGTTCGTCTGAACATAGTGGGTTAGATTCAGGGAGTGAGTGGCCCTTCCTTTGTGTCATCTGTCTTCCTTCTTCATGACGTCATCGGGAATCCCCAGGGGAGCTTTCCCCAGGGAGCAAAGCTGAGCTCCTGGTTGTGGAAAGCTTCAGCTACAGCCTCAGGCAAGAAGCTCTCCGCCTGGGACGTGTGTCCTGTACCACACAAACAAATACCATGCAATATGGTCAGTGGAAGGACCTTGGGAGCACTGGGTGCTAGGGGAATCATCACTGAGGTTGGAGAGGTGTGGACAGTCACCCAGCAAACCGTTGGAGCCCATAAAGGGTTATTAAGCAGGGAATATTGTGAGTGGGTATTCGCTCTAGCTACACCTCACTCTAAAGCTGAAGGCCTAGGAGTATAAGAGCTTGTGGGGAGAGAGGAGATACATGAATACCTGTAATTCATGCAAAAGTTTGTGTATATGTAATCTAGTCAGGACTCTTGGTTGCAATGACAGAGATCCTCCTAGTCAACAACAAAACGAAAAAGAAATGTACTGATTTAACTGATAAGCGAAGGTATAAAGAGACAGTCAAGTTCATAGAAGAGAGCGAAAGGGGATTGCAGTAGTTCATTAAACGAACTATGCTTGAGTTCAACTATGTGAATTTTTACCTCCTAAAATTTAGTAAGGAATATAACGGGAAATCTCTTTGGAATCACACACCCTTCCGTTGTGAGGGAAATCCCGTTAAGCAAAGAAGGATGATTCTTGCTCTCAAAGGAGCTCATGAGGTCCTGTCAATTCTACCTCTGAAATAGTTCTTCAGTCAGTCCCCTCCTCTCTACCCCCACTGCTACTGTCATGAACCCGGCCCTATTTTGTTCATACCTAGACCCCGGCGGCGGCAGCTGTCTCCCCGTTCTCCCTGCTGTCTTCCACCCCCTCCACAAATCTTAATGACATGCTTGGGCTCCAGGATTCTGAGAACCTGAGAACTAAATGAAAGCTGTGAAAATTATATCTGTTTGAGGCAGCGAGGAAGAGTTCTCTCTATTGACTGTTGCTTTGCCCTTCCAGAAACTTTCTGTGCATGTGCAAATTACACACAAAAATGTATGAAGTTTTAATTTTTAGGTTTTAGAGGAAGTTTATGTATTTTATTAATCGCTGCATCCAATGTGGGGCTCAAACCTATGACCCTGAGATCAATTGAGCCAGCTACATGCCCTGTGTATTTTTTAGTGTTTTGTTGTTGTTGTTAGTTTGTTTTGTTTTTGAGAGAGCGAGTGAGCAAGGAGGAGAGGGGCAAAGGAAGACAGAAGGAATCTCAAGCAGGCTTCCTGCTTGGTGTGGAGCCTGAAGTGGGGCTCCATTCCACGGACCCTGGGATCAAGACCTGAGCTGAACTCAAGAGTTGGGTGTTCAACCAGCTGAGCCATCCAGGCGCTGCCATAATTTTTAATTTTCAATAAAACTTTTTAAATGGGAAATTTCAACTTATGCAAAAATTGCAAACTTAGCAAAATATGGAAAAAAGCCCCATTACCCAACTTTAACAATTTTAAACATTTGCTATTTTTATTTCACCTATCCTGGCCTGTTTGCTTGCTTAAAATTTAAAAATGTGAATTATGAATTTCCAAAGTTACGGAAAATAATAAAATAGATGCTGAAGTTCCCAATATTCCAACTTAACAGATGTTAAAACTTTAACATGGTACCATCTTTTTTCAAATCTTACACTTCATACCATTGGTCCTTTGATCTTTGTGTTATTACACACACAAAAACTTCATATTACTGTTACAGCAAATTCCCAGCAGTTGCTATTTGCTTGTTAAAAAATCTTGAAGAGTGCCTGGTTGGCTCAATTGGTTAAACATCTGACTCTTGGTTTTGGGTCAGGACATGACTTCACAGTTTGTGGGATCAAGCCCCATGTGGGGGTCTGCACGGTCAGCTTGGTATTCTCTCTCTCCTCTCTCTGCCCCTTTGCCCACTCTTGCACGCTCTCCCAAAATAAATAAATAAACATTAAGGGGCGCCTGGGTGGCGCAGTCGGTTGAGCGTCCGACTTCAGCCAGGTCACGATCTCTCGGTCCGTGAGTTCGAGCCCCGCGTCGGGCTCTGGGCTGATGGCTCAGAGCCTGGAGCCTGTTTCCGATTCTGTGTCTCCCTCTCTCTCTGCCCCTCCCCCGTTCATGCTCTGTCTCTCTCTGTCCCAAAAATAAATAAATGTTGAAAAAAAAATTAAAAAAAAAATTCTTGAGTTCACATCCTGTCCCCCCGTTTTTTTTCAAACAACTTTATTGAAGTATAATTTTTTCCTAGTTCTTAAGTCTTTTTTTTTTTAATTTTTAATTTTATTTTAGAGAGGGAGG